CATTATATCTTTATCTATGTAAGAAATATTCGATTATATTTTCAAGAACACGTATGCGTAGAATGGGCGTGGAAAGTACCACTTGACCGAAGTGGTGTGATCCGGTACGGCATTTTAACGACATAGAAACTTGAAATAAGTCGAGTATATTTTGCTAATTAATTTGTTCAAACGATGCAATGTGTGTTATTTTAAGTGACAATTTATTTTATTTTATGTGAATGTAAATTTCAAATTTTTTAATTTGTATTCAATTCACGTTTTTTAGTTAATCAATTTACCCGTATGTAAACATCGTTTTTAGTTATATTTGATTCGCAATTTTTTTACATAATCAATGGTAGAATATTCTTTTACAAAAGAGAAATAGTTGAAATAGCTTTCCCGACGGAGGATTGCAAATTTCAAGATTTCTTATCGAGTTAAAGGATTTTCTTTAAATAGTTAACTCGAAGTAAATTAATTAAATTTCAATAAATGGATCGTAATTTAACTTTATATTCGATTTATAGTTTCCACCATTTTACGACAACATGTAAGCGACACAGTACCAGTTTTTGGGCGTTGTGGGGTGCTTACCCTTCCCCGCACGTAATCGACTCCCGAATCCATTTAAATGAATCTTTGGTAACGCAGACCGAATCTTGTCTTAAAAAATGATTTTTCTTAAAATTGTTTTAAAAGACGTTTTTAGGTATTCGACCTACCTAACCCAAAGGTTGATGGCGACTCTTTTTAATTTTATTCAAATCAATGCAAAACCACCCATTTTTCCAAATTAAAGTCATAATTGTTTTTAAAAATAATATTTAATTGTTTTAAAAAAAATGGTTATGACACTACTCATGTACATAGATGTATACGGGAAATGAGTATTACATTTTCTGCCTAAAAGATGCACGTCGCCAATTGAATCTGATCAACACAATGCAAAGATTAGGAGTGCAATGACTTTCCTGTCTTGCATACCATTTGATGAAAGCATGGGTGTAGAAAAGGGCAATAGTCTGAAAGATATACGGGCACGTGTACATGGTGGCATTACTGTATTAGGTGTCACATCTCTAAAGAAAATAATATTTTTCGAAGTGAGGTGTAACAACCCTAGGTCATCGATGCTTCTTCAATTCCTGCCCACCTCTTTGACTAGGATTCCTGCCCATTTATTTTATATATAAATATATATATATTTGTACAAACCGAGTCACTTTGGTGGTAATTTTTTTTTGAGGTTTTGGGTTCAAACACCATAAATGTTAGGGGTGTGAATGTTAAATGACAAATGGTTGAGTTATATTTGAACAAATATTACCTTGTACTTACCTAGGATTAATCAAATATATATATTTATATATATATAGATCAAGATACTATAAGATTAGAAAAATGTTTAGGGTAAACTGTATATTCAGTCACTCGACTATCACTCTTGTTTTGTTTTGATCACCTAATAATTTTTTAATACTATACCTAAAATTACAATTTGGTTACCCACCGTTAAAAATTAACAATGATGTTAATATGTCTCCGTAAGATAATGTCACATCATAATTAAAAAAATAAAATAAATTATCACATGAACAATTTTGTTCATTTTTTAACGATGATGTTGATGTGTCTTTATCGACCATTCACTTGTCGATTGGGATGGATGTGTCTTGGGATTTAGAGATTTAGATTTATGAATTTCGGGATTAAGGCTACGAGTGATTACTGACAATGGGTGGACAGGGGACTGACAGGGGGCGACCAACGAGTAAAGTTAATGTTTTGGGATTATGGATTTTGGAATTTTTTTGAGATTTTAGAGAAATTTTGAATTTTTTAAATAATAATAATAATTTTATTTTTAATTAATTTTAAAAAATTATAAACATGTCTCGTGTCACATTTTGAGTAATGGCTAATTTTTAACGAATTTTGTAATGTTTATTACGGTTGAGAAACTTAAAATGATAATGTTAACAACGTTAGACACTTACATTTACCAAAAAAAATCGAACACCTAAATGAGTAAAGAGATATAATTTGAAAAATATTTTTATATTTTGAAAAATATTTTTATATTAAGTCTTATAAAAAATAATATTTTTTATCTTAAGAAAAATTAAAAATAATGACACTTCTAAGAAAAATTGAAAATTTAAGTATTTACGTTAGACACATCATCACTGTTAATATTTTAACGGTGGATGACTAAATCATAATTTTAGGTATGATATTAAAAAGGGTAAACTACATAAATGACCACGTAACTATGATCCAGGTCGCGAAATGACCACCATTTTGAAAATTATGACATATATAGCGCTGAACTATTTAAATTGGTTAAAAAAAGGCACACGAAGTTAACATTTAACGGAGGTGTTTACGTGGCAGTTAAAAAATTAAAATAATTAGGGCGTGAGTCCTTGTAAAGTTATATATTCATGGCGCTGACACCCTACTTTGTTTCTTTCATTTTGGTCACTACTTGTATATGATTTGCTTCCTTGAATTTTCATTTAATCCAAATTGATCCTGATTTAGTTTTTAATTTTTCTAGTGCCTTAATTTGGGCATTGACTTTAAAATCTTTTATTCTAGTTATGTATTAAATTTGTAGTTTAAATCCTAGACATGTGTCACAGTTTGACTGGAGAAATAAATTTATTAAAAATTAGGACCTAATTAAAAAAATTAAGAATAAAAGTTAACCTTGGTGATCAAATTTATTAATTCTAAAACATAGGGGATTTAATCTACAAATTTAATACATGACTAGAATAAAATATTTTAAAGTTAATGCCCAAATTAAGGCATTAGACAAAATAAAAACAATATCAGGATCAAATTGGATTAAATGAAAATCCAAGGAAGCAAATCATATACATATGGTGGCCAAAATGGAAGAAAACAATGCAGGGTGCCAATGTCGCGAATACATAACTTTACAAGGACTCGTGCGCTAATTATACCAATTTTAAACTGCAACGTAAACACCTCTATTAAATGTTAACGTCGCGTGGCTATTTTGAACCCAATTAAATAATTCAGTGGTATATATGTCACAATTTTCAACATGGAGCTCATTTCACAACCTGACCCATTATTACGTGGTCATTTATGTAGTTTACACTTTTTAATATCATACCTAAAATTATGATTTAATCATCCACGGTGATGTTGATGTGTCTAACGTAAATACTCATAGATCAAATTTACTACTAAAAGTCAAGACGCATTTAAAATAGTCCTAGATCAACAAAAGACTGCATGCAATTCTGATTTTTAAAATGAAAATTACGTGGTCTATCTGCTTTTGATAACTTGTTATCTTCTCGATTGTGTATGGCATCACAACAAAGTGTTAACTTTGGTTTTCTTAACAAAAAAGGAATACTAAAATAAAATATATGCATATTTAACCAACATATAAAATGTTTAAATTTGAATTTAAATAAAATGTTTTTTAATTTGAATTTAAATAAATTCTATCTATAAAACATATGTATATTTAACCCACCTATAATCATGTTTGGTAGCTCAAGTATCATTTTTGTTCCATTTTGACCACCAACTATTTTTTGTTTTAAAATCATACATAAAGTTACGTTTTGGTTTCATTTTGGTCACTTACCATTAAAAAATAACGATGATACTAATGTGTCATCGTAAGATAATGCAACGTCATTATTGATTTTATTTTTGAAATTTCAAATTAGTAATTAAGTTAACTTTTTTAACAACGGACGATCAATGAAACCAAAAGGTAAAATTAAAAAATAATTGAGGGACCTAAATGACACAAAATAGTAAAAGTTCTAAACGTGTAGTTTACCCTAAAAAATTGTAACTCAAATGAGGATTGGTTTTATGTTGAAGACACCTTACGAGAAGAGAATGTTGTTTACTTTTCTAGGTTATTTACTCAAGCAAGGATATTAAAATGAAAATAGTTGAGTGATGAATGGTGTAATTTATCTTAACAACAATAAGCAAGGAGGCCCCTCTTAGCACAAGAAGCAATATACATGTGTTTGGGATCCAATTAATGATAGATGAAGAAGATTGAAGAATAAGAAATCAAGCGTACAAACACTAAATTCACCTTCAAAAAGAGAAAAAAAATAAGTTTTGCGGAAAATTTGGGACACATATGTCGTTAGATCTGACGATCGAAGATGGTCGAAGATGACCGATGTGCTGAACAATTATAGTAAGTGGTAGTCAAAATTTGGGTTGATTAAGACAAAGGAAGAATAAGATGATAAAAGGAGAAAAGAGAGGAAAATGGTTCTTTTAGCTTTTATAAGAATTTAAAACAATATCATTTTGGTGGTTTTTGTAGAGATCTAAAGTGATATTATTCTGGTGTCATCCGACCATTTTTCATAGCATCAAACCATTTTTGATTTCACAGTCGAGTGACAAAAAATGATGCAAACTATAATCGAATGTTCAAATTGATTTTTTTTAAAATTTTAGTGATAAAAAAATTAAGAATACAGTTGAATAGTGAGATTTATAATTTATCATAAAAAGTAGGGTAAACTATGCATTTAATACCTAAACTATTAGTTTTGGTCCGTTTTAATATCTGAATTTTTAATATTTTTAAAACTATACCTAAAGTTTAGTTTTTGTTTATTTTAGTACCCGTTTAAAACTTAACGTTAAATTTTGAAGAAAAAAAGAAAGTTTAAGTATTAAAACAAACCAAAACTGATAGTTTAGATATTAAACGCTTTAAGTTTTTAACAACATGGTACTAAATGAAGCCAAAAAAAAAACAATATGTATGATTTTGAAAAAATTAAAAGTTTGAGGTACTAAATGTAGCATCATATTGACTAGCTTAAAATAAAAAATACCAAAATAAAAACAATCCACGAGGTTGACACTGAGAAGGTAAAGAATTAAATAAAATAAAACCGAATAGCCACTCTTCCACGTAAATATAGAAAAGTTGTATAAATACATCAACACGAGTTCTTTAGCTCACACCGATTCAATTCATTTCATAGTGTTTCCAACACAATTACAAGCTAAAGAAATGTCTTCATCGAAGCTTCCTTGTTCAACTCGTGGATCCATCTCCACCCACAATCGTCCCTTAGCCAACTTTCCCCCTGACGTTTGGGGTGATATTTTCTTACATCCATCTAAAATGGTAAGGAATTTATGTACTATATGTGTGTGTTTGCGCGTCTGCACCTGTAAAAGTGTTCCTATAATGTATACAATTGTGCAGTACGTGGATGGTGAAACCCAACTACAGCACGAAGAACTGAAAGAAGAAGTAAGGAGGATGATTAGGGTAGATGTGGGTGATGATTTACTGCACAAACTGCGTTTGATTGATACAGTCAAACGGTTGGGAGTGAGTTACCATTTTGAAAGAGAGATAAAGGAAGCATTGCACTGTGTTCATGAGCATCCCTACCAATATGACCAAACTCTCGAGGCTACCTCACTTCGATTCCGATTGCTTAGAGAGAGTGGATTTAATGCTTCCTGTGGTGAGTCTCGCAACTTCTACTTTACACCCATTACGATCGTTAAGAATAATTTTTTATTGGGTTGAACAGAAACGTTCAACAAGTTCAAAGATGATGAAGGAAGCTTCAGCAAGTCCTTAACAAGTGATGTGAAAGGTTTGCTCGAACTATACGAAGCTGCGCATTTACTTGTTCATGGGGAACACATACTCCAAGAAGCCCTTGCGTTCACCACTACTCATCTTGAGTTAGCCAAAGCTACTGGAATTGTGGAGTATCCTCTTTCAGCCTTAGTCTCCAATGCTCTATACCTACCCTTACGCAAGGCCCTGCCAAGGTTGGAGGCAAGGCGATACATTTCCATTTATCAAGAAGATGCTTCACACGACAAAACACTGCTGAAGTTTGCAGAGCTGGATTTCAACCTGTTACAAAATTTACACAAGGAAGAGCTATGCAAGCTCTCTAGGCAACATATTACTTCTTTTAACACTAATTAATTTTTTATTTTAACCCAACTTGAAGGGAAAAATAATTCATAACTGAGTGTTTGTTTCAGGTGGTGGAAAGATTTAGATTTTGCTTCAAAACTACCGTTTGCACGAGATAGAATGGTGGAATTATACTTTTGGATGTTAGGAATGTACTTCGAGCCTATTTACTCTTTTGCCCGAGAGATACTAACAAAAGTAGTATCTCTGATATCAATTATGGATGACATATATGATTCATATGGCACATTTGAAGAACTTCAACTCTTTAGGGATGCAATTCAAAGGTCAATAACTTATATATATATATATATATATATATATATATGAATATTAAAATTTTAGTATTTTATAACATTTTGCCTTAAATCTTAGATCTTTATTTGTTTTTCAGGTGGAATGATGATTGTGTAGATCGACTCCCAGATTACATGAAACTGTTCTACAACTTATTATTAAATATCTACAAAGAAATTGAGGAGGCGATGACAAAACAAGGACAACCATATCGTGTCCAACATTCTATAAACAAAGTAAATTTACACCCTATCTCAATTTTATGATATTTACATTAGTAAATATGAATTAACCCCTTTTATACATATACCAAGTCGAGGGAGTAAATTATTAAACCCATATGTAATTGTTCCTTATTTTGTTGGTTTTCAATTTACAGTTTAAGCAGCTGAGTGATAGTTATTTTGCTGAGGCCAAATGGTACAATGAAAACCATGTACCAACGATGGAAGAGTACATGAGGGTCTCACTTAAATCTGCTGCAACTGCTCCAATAATTGTCACGTCTCTTGTTGGAATGGAAAATGAGCTGACACCTGAGATTTTCAATTGGGCATCTGACGACCCTAAAATCATTGTTGCTTGTGCCATTCAGGGCCGCCTCGAAGACGATATTGCTTCACACAAGGTATTATTTCTTAAAAATAAATAAATAAATAAATAAATTGTAAGAGTATTTTCAATTAATTTATATGTGTGTAGTTTGAGCAAGAAAGAGGGCACTGTGCGTCGGCTGTTGAATGCTACATGAGAGAACATGGAGTTTCAGAAGAAAAAGCATGCATTGAATTGAAGAAGCAAGTGGATAATGCATGGAAAGATATAAACTATGAGATGATATTTAGTGAGACATCTAAGGTTGTTCCAGTGTCGGTTCTTACACGAGTTCTCAATCTTACGAGGGCCACTGAGTTCATGTATTTGGCTGGAGATGGGTACACACATGTTGGAAAATCGACTAAAGATGGCATCACTTCATTGCTCATTGATCCAATCTCAGTCTCGGCTTCAGGAAATTAAGAATTTGCACATTGATTATGTTTAGCTGTGTGTACTCTTTTCCTCCATATATAATTAGGGAGGTTTTTAACGAGGCACACAAATAAATTTAGATGTATGATTTAAATCTTTCTAATAAAATCATATTACCGATCGAGTAATCCAATTTATGATACATGTTTGTGGTACTTCTACGTGTCGTATACTCGTATTATGTTTGAAGCATTAAATAAATTTGTTTCGTAATTATGAAACGATGGGTCAAGGAAGCAAGAAAGAAATGTGTTGCGTACTTGTAAAGTGAATGTATATGATAGCTTGTATCTCAATAGTAACTTTACAAAGTGTTCGTGTGCAAATATATTCGGTCTCTGAACCGAACCTTGTTGAATCTTCTCTGTTATTTCTTTTTGAAATATAATTAAGCTCTTATTAGAAACCGCTCCTATCTCAATCGAATTGAGGCTCGATCTAAAACAAATAAAAGAAAAGTTCACAAACATATTGAAACAACCCATTTTAAGATAACGCTCGGTTTCATTACGTTTGATGTGCTCTTGGTGAACGGCTTTCCCCATTATAAAATGACCTGATTGGCTTTGTAAAATTCCAGACAATCAAGAAAGTTCCGAAATCGTTAAATGTTACGGAATGTGATCATCGAATAGAATAAAATTGCAACTAATAATTTAAAAAAATAACAATGAAGATAATGTTGGATCATAAACTTGATCCATTATGGGAGCCTAAACCCAAACCCAAACTCAAACTAAATTGATATCATTACTTACATCATTTAATTAAAGATGTCATTGCTTACATCATTTAAGTAATGATGTCTTTGCTTACATCAATTTAGTTAGGTGAGAGTTAGATATTTGTTGAATTTGTAATGGTTTAAATTAGTTTATTTGTGTGGTGTAGGATTGCTCTTGAGTAGTAGAAATACACATTCCCATTTTAGTTTTAAGCATCAAGAAAAATTAAGAGCTTCTAAGTGAGTGAAGAAGCAAAGTCTTATAAGAGTGAGTTGTAGTTCTTGTTTTTGAGTGAGAGTGCTCTTGTAATATTTGTTTGAGTTTCAATAAAAGTTGTGTGAGTGTTTTATTTCCAAAAATGTGGTATCAGAGCGAGTTAGAAAGATTGAAGGTCTCGACGAGAGGAATCCGACACCGCCATAATTTTTTTTTCAATCTGAGTTTTGACACACCGAAGACTGCTGCCAGAAAATCAAGTTGACTCACCGAGTTGAGCCGAGTCAGTCGAGTTGGAGCCCTTGACCGAGTTGTCCAAGTCCCTCCCAAGGTTTTTTCGGTGTTCAGGATTCATTCGTGCAATCGGATTTTACAAAATCTCATTATATTGAGAGATATGGAAAATGGTATGACACCATTCCAAGTTCCAACACTCAACAACAATAACTACGACAATTGGAGTATCAAAATGAAGGTACTTCTTGGATCACAAGATGTGTGGGATATCATAGAGAAAGGCTATAACGAGATTGTGGATGATGTTATTTTTGCTACTCTTACACCAGATCAAAAGACAACTTTGAAGGATTCAAGAAAGAGAGACAAGAAGGCTCTCTACCTCATCTACCAAGCATTAGATGATGATGGTTTTGAAAAGATTTCAAGTGCAAGCTCTAACAAGGAAGCATGGGAGAAGCTGCAAACCTCTTACAAAGGATTCGAGCAAGTGAAGAAGGTTTGTCTCCAAACATTAATAGGTGAATTCGAATCCTTACACATGAAAGCATCTGAGTCTATTTCAGATTATTTCTCAAGAGTAGTAGTTGTTTCTAATCAATTAAAAAGAAATGGTGAAAAGTTAGATGATGTGAGGATAATAGAGAAGATACTTCGTTCGTTGGATCCCAAATTTGAGCACATCGTCGTGACGATTGAAGAAACTAAAGACTTGGAAGAAATGACGATCGAGCAACTCCAAGGATCATTGCAAGCATACGAAGAGAAGCATAAGAAGAAGCATGAGTTTACTGAGAAACTCCTCAAGCTGCAACTCAAAGATATGCATGAAAACCAACGCAATGATAGAAACCAACGTGGCCAAGGCAGAGGTAGAGGCCATGGACGAGGTGGAAGTCGAGGTCGTGGACGAGGCTGGAATTACAACAACAACAATTCCAACAATAACGATGAGAAAGGAAAAAGCTCAACACGAGGCTGTGGAAGAATCAATCCGAACTCAAGGCATGACAAATCTCAAGTTCGATGTTATAATTGTCAAAAGTTTGGGCATTATGCTTCAGAATGTAGAGCTCCCAACAACAAAATTGAGGAGAAGGCTAACTACGTGGAGGAAAAGACAGATGGAAAAGAAACTCTTCTTCTAGCACGAAAGGAAACTGATGGTGGCCAAGCAAATTCCTGGTATCTTGACAGTGGTGCAAGAAATCACATGTGTGGAAGGAAAGACATGTTCGTTGAACTAGACGAGTCAGTAAGCGAAAATGTTTCGTTTGGAGATGATTCCAAAATAGTAGTGAAAGGGAGAGGTAACATTCTTATTCGTTTGAAAGATGGGAGACATCAATTTATTTCAAATGTCTACTATGTGCCCAATATGAAAAGTAACATCTTAAGTTTAGGACAACTGGTAGAGAAAGGTTATGATATTCATATGAATAATTATAATCTTTCTATAAAAGATGATAAGAATAACTTCATTGCTAAAGTGTTGATGTCAAAGAATAGAATGTTCTTGATCAACATACAAAATGATGTTGCAAAGTGCCTGAAAGCTTGCTATAAAGATACATCATGGCTTTGGCATCTTGATTTGGGCATCTCAATTTTGGAGGTCTAGAGCTGCTATCTAAGAAGGAGATGGTGAAGGGACTACCTCGCATCAACCATCCTGACCAGCTTTGTGAAGGGTGTCTAGTTAGGAAACAATTCAGGAAAAGCTTTCCGAAAGAGTCAGAGCCAAGAGCCAAGAAGCCACTCGAGCTCATCCATACCGATGTGTGTGGACCGATCAAGCCGAGCTCTCTCGGTAACAATAACTATTTTCTTCTCTTCATTGATGATTTTTCAAGAAAAACCTGGATATATTTCTTGAAACAGAAGTCAGAAGTTTTTGAAGTTTTCAAGAAGTTCAAAGCAGCAGTGGAGAGAGAAAGCGGTAGAAAGATCAAAGCCATAAGATCCGATCGAGGTGGAGAATTTACTTCCAGGGAGTTTCAAGAGTTCTTTGAAGCAAATGGAATTCTTCGACCAATGACAGTTCCTAGATCCCCCCAGGAAAATGGTGTGGCAGAAAGAAAGAACAGAACAATCCTCGACATGGCACGAAGTATGCTCAAAAGCAAGAAACTACCCAAAGAATTTTGGGCGGAAGCAGTATCGTGTGCAGTCTACTTGTCAAACCGATCTCCAACAAGAAGTGTATGGGGAAAGACACCGCAAGAGGCATGGAGTGGAAGAAAGCCTGGTATTTCCCACTTGAGAACCTTTGGAAATATAGCCCATGTTCATGTACCAGACGAGAGAATAACGAAACTTGATGATAAAAGCAAGATCATCGGCTATGATGCTAATTCAAAGGGCTATAAGTTGTATAATCCAAACAATAAGAAGTTTGTGATTAGTCGATATGTGGTCTTCAACGAAGAAGGAGAATGGGATTTTAACTCTCATACAGATGACTTCAATTTCTTTTCTCAGTTTGAAGAAGATGAGCAGACAATGAGGGAACAACTAGATGAATCTCAATAAGAGCTTGCAACTCCACCCACTTCACCAACATCAACCACTCAAGGAGACTCATCACCTTCGTCATCGTCAAGTGGGAGTCAAAGTGAAAGAGTTGTGCAACGCACATGAAGCCTTAGAGATCTCTATGAGGTAACTGAACGACAAGATAATCTTACATTATTTTGTTTGTTTGCCGATTGTGAACCAGTGAGCTTTCAAGAAGCGGTACAAGAAAAGAAATGGAGAGATGCGATGGATGAAGAAATCAAGGCCATCGAGAAGAATGACACATGGGAACTTACCTCACTTCCCAAGGGACATAAGGCGATAGGTGTCAAATGGGTGTACAAAACAAAGCAAAACACCAAAGGAGAGATTGAAAGGCACAAGGCGAGGCTAGTTGCTAAAGGCTATAGTCAAAAGGCTAGAATTGACTATGATGAGGTATTTGCTCCTGTTGCTCGATTGGAGACTATCAGACTAATCATTTCTTTGGCAACTCAAAACAAGTGGAAGATACATCAGATGGATGTAAAGTCTACCTTCCTAAATGGAGTTCTTGAAGAGGAAGTTTACATTCAACAACCATCAGGCTACGAAGTCAAAGGGCATGCAGATAAGGTGTTGAAGTTGAAGAAGGCTCTTTACGGGCTAAAACAAGAACCAAGAGCATGGAATAGTCAAATCGACAAGTACTTCCAAGAGAATGGCTTCAATAAATGTCCCTACGAGTACGCTCTATATATCAAGATCAAAGATGGAGATATTTTGATCATTTGCCTCTACGTGGACGATTTGATCTTCACTGGAAGCAACCCAAGCATGTTTAATGAATTCAAGAATGTGATGATGAAAGAATTCGAGATGACAGACATGGGGCTCATGGCGTACTACCTTGGCATTGAAGTTAAGCAACAAAATGATGGAATTTTTATTTCACAGGAAAGCTATGCAAAGGAGATACTGAAGAAGTTCAAGATGGAGAACTGTAAGCCAATAAGCACACCGGCAAAATACGGGATCAAGATGACCAAACATGAAGAAGGCAAAAGTGTAGATCCAACATTCTTCAAAAGTTTGGTAGGAAGTCTACGCTATCTAACTTGCACGAGACCCGATATTCTTCATGCAGTTAATTTGGTTAGTCGCTACATGGAATCTCCAACAACCACCTATTTTAAAGCTGCAAAGAGAATTCTTCGCTATCTGAAAGGTACAATTGACTTCGGCTTGTTCAATTCAGTTTCTAATGATTACAAGCTTGTTAGATATAGTGACAGTGATTGGGGTGGAGACATA